CCGAAACCTTTCAATCGAAAAGGAAGTAGGCTCAACAACAAAGGAGAAGATAACACTTTTCATCAATCTGCCGATGCAACAAGAGAAAATTGACAAGCTTGATTATTTGGGAGTTAATCGCATTAAATACGGCAACTGTGAGCAGAAGTGTATCGGTAAAACAGAAAGAAAAATCAGCCCACGAATCAAGGAATATCAAAAACTCTGAAGTAGCATGGATACGGAAAGATCAGAAATAGTGGAACAAATCGCACGAACGCGTCACGAAATCGATTGGAAATCGACAGAAAGGCTGGCTGCATATTGTGAAAATAGGAGAAAACGGAAGATCCGAAAGGCCATCGATATAATGACCAAGAGAAATCTAATAAACTGGAGACTTGAATAAGCCAGGATCAGCGAAAACTTTGCAGATTGCCTAAACAAACTCGGAAAAGACCAGGCAACAGCAAGATCCGCAAAAAGAAGAAGACTGGATCAAGGTCACATCCTTAATTTTAGGAAAATAGATCGCAAATGGGCGAGAAAGGAACAATCAGAAGCCAAGAGAAGACGACTTCAGTGAGCCTAATCAAAACAAGTTGAACCACAAAATTTGTTGGTTGGCACACAAAAGACTAGGACATTGTAATAGACATGCTTGCAGCAAATTAAAAGTCGCTGTGAAAGTTAACATGACGTAAAAGCTCTCGCCGAAAAATAGTATAGTTTGGCCTCACGTGCAATTTATACCAGGCGAACAAAAAATAGAAAATTCGTAACGCACCTGAACTGGATGAAGACCGAAGCACAGATTTATCCAGTCTGGGTACCTGGAATACACAAAAATATCATCATATTGAAAGATTGGTTTGGCTATCAGGTACGAAATAAAGGCAATAACAGGTCTACTTATCCCTGAACCAAGTCTCCTAATTATCAAAATCCTCTTCTCAACGCATATTAAGTCCGGAGTATAGCCAAGATTGAGTTGATGCGGATAAAATAGCAAAAAAAAGAGTTATATCGTCTTCAGAAATAGCAGTTAGCGCTAACAAAATTAGTTGGATGAAAAGCTATTGTTGAAATGATGGACCAACCAAATTAGTCAAATCTAATCTTGGGCCGAACTGTTGATAAGTGTCTTTAAAAGATTTTTTAAGTAAAAATGGTAGGATCATTAAGCTCATTTCAATTTTGAGTGAATGTACGAGATCAAGAGAATCAAAGTTTAATCCCACAAGGAGATGGCGACGCATTCCTCTTAGCAGGGTATTTTTTGACTTTACTGGAATATTTAAGCATACGATGTCCCCGAAACGATCTCAGTCGACTAAAGGGAAAATGTGTTGAGACTTCGTCTCTTATAGCAGAGACATAATCAGAGCAGGCAGACTTGAGTAAGGGAAAGTGTAGACAAAGTATATGACATGATTAAAATCAAAATCAGGATTAAACAAGCCATTCTCCTGATGTTTTCTCTGATAGATTATAAAAAGAAAAGTACAAAACGTAAAACTACTTTCCGTAGTCCATAGTACGCATGACAATTTACAGAGTCGAACCGTGGACGTGATACATTCGCATTCGGCATCGTTAGTAAGCCACACAATATCTCGTAAAAGAGACAAGCGAAGTCAATCCTTCGACCAATTGTCTACTAAACAATCGTGATATCTCCTTCCGTCTTGGGCTAATCACCAATCCTATATCCTCGTATCACGCCTTCACTATCAAGATTTTTACTTGCATATTTAAATGTGATATGGTGTGCCCTTTTGAGCGGATTTCCTGATAACTATCCGCTCAAAAGGGTATACCATACTACATTTAAACAAGCAAGTAAAAATTGTAATACTGAAGGCGTGATACGAGGATATAGGATTGGTTATTAGCCCAGGGCGGAAGGAGAGATAATACGATTGTTTAGCAGACAATTGATCAAATGATCGGTTGTAGTGTGGTGTTAAGAGAAGTAATGCTGACCGATGATGCCGGCGAAACGTCTGGGAATGTATCACGTCAACGGTCCGAATCTGGAAATCATCCTGCATAATATGGACTCCGGACGAGGCGCGTTCCTCTAAATCTTCCTACCAATATGACCAAGCTGAGAAAACAGGGTCAAACAACTTCTATACAAGGAAGGGAGACTGCGACCACACAAAGGCCACACCATCTTGGTCTTCATACCTTATATTAAAACTACTTTCTCCAGAAAAAACAAGTTAATTAATTTATTCAGTATGCCTGTCGACGACAGTATCGAGATATTTTTGGAAGGAATACTAAACTGTTCATTCTGAAATTCCGGGAATGATTTTATAAATGTACTTATTGAATTAGTTAATTGACAGATAAGCTGCTTAAGGGAGTAATGATTAGTATAGAAAGAGAAGTGATTCCTCAGGCTCACGGGGTAATCGTTCCAAAAAGATTTTATTATTTCAAATTATAACAAAATCAGCATATGCCTGTTTCCTATAAACATATCTGCCTAACTTTGGAAGGTTATAAGTCAAAAGTGCCCTAGCATCTGTTTGAAGGATATGAGAAAGGTTCCCATAGGATTGATAGTAGACAATAAAGGTAGTGTTAAGCATAAAATCTCACGTTTTGTATGCAGGCAATCTAGAACGATGGCCGAATTTAGGCTATAAAAATTCTTATGAATTTGCTAAATTGGTGGGCCGGCGAATTTAGGAGACAGACATACTGGAAAATATTGATGTGGAATCTATGTACACAAATATTCCAATTCATGAAGCCATTCGAGCCCTAATGCTCACACTGGAGGAGCATTCAGAGATAATGAAAGATATTATGTTCGGTAGACCCTCCATCCGAAGACTTCTTAGCCTATCCATGAGGAGTAAATATTTCCGTTTTGGCAGTAAGTTCTATGATGAATATCTATGTGGCAAAGTTCGAGGAAGGCTTAATGAAAGAGGTAATGCCGAAACCGAATCTGCAATCTGGCAGCATTATAAGGAAAAATTGGATAGCTTTCTACTTTCAATTAACCAGCAACATATTAAGTTCGTAATAGAATTTGAAGAGAATAAGAGCTGATAGTTTTTCGGTGTTATGGTTATTGGTAAAGAATGCAAACTAGGCAAGATATTTATAGGAACAACGCACCTTAGTTTTATAGAAGTTGTTTGACCTTGTTTTCGCAACTTAGTCATATTAGCAGGAAGATCTAGAGCAGCACCGCCGGCATCGTCAGTGAATCTTGCCACTCTCAGCGGCCAAGCTACAACTCGGCAAAGAGACAAGTGAAGTCACTTCCCTGACCAACTTTTGTCGAGATGGTTGTGCTATCACTCCTTATTCTGTCCTGATTCCTCCATCTATCTCCTACCCTCTTGCCTCGACCTCATCCTGTCATAATTTCTGACATGTTTATATTCCACAAGAAATATGCCCTTATAGTCAATTTACCGGGGCGTCATCACACCTGCTCTTTGCCTTTCTCTCCTTCATTTCGAGTGGCTGATCCGATTCGAGCCTCCTGTCCGGATCTGCCTCATGGGCCTGTAGGTTCGTTTTTTATCTTTCTGGTTGACCGATTTCACTCGGTTACAGCACAGTGTACTTTTACTCCAGGTGCTATTTCTCAAGCTTTCAGTAGCAAGTACAATATCGCCTCATCTGCCGAGCACCTGTGCTCTGATTGCCATGGTTGCGGATATTAGGCATTGCCTTCACGCGTCATCTCCTAGATTAAGCCTGTGTATCCTAAGTTAATTCTGGACATCTATCTTTGGTCTCCTGCCACCTCTCAAGTGAATTATTAGGCAATTTAGTCATAATGCAAAATTTCTGTGACCCAATCGCTCTCTCTAGCCACGTTAAACATCGGGCCCCCAAAGCTGTAGCTTTTTATTTGAGCTGACCATACACACTGAAAACGTCTTCGTTTCTTTCCGAAACTTCTTCCTTTAAGTCCTAGGTCAGAATCTGTAAATAATCATGCATACTATCAACTCCAGACAAGATGCGTTCTTCTAGGTCTTTCTGCCAATATGGCCGAATTGCGAAAAGAAGGTCAAACAACTCCTGTACAACAAAAGTTGTATACAAAAGGTCACACCATCCTTGTCTTCATACCTTCGATACACTGTTTTTGCGCTTAATTTTCTTTATAAAGTCAGAACTTTAAATTCTATGATTAATAGAACTATGAGATTTATGGATCTAAATCAACTGGATGAAGAGTTAAGAAGACCGAAAAATTATTCTGGGAAAATAATTATCCTTCCAGTTTAATTGATAATAGGAAATAAATTTTTATACGAACAGAATTTTGTCATGTCCTAATTTTGCCGTCCTATCTCCTTTTTAAGAAGATAGACGAACCAGTGGAGAAGTAAGGGATACAATAGTTCTAAAAGAAACTCAAACACTCTCCTTGGTTAGGTCCTCTTTTAGAGAGAAATATGACCCATTATCAAAATAGAGCCGTTAAAGTTTGACTTATATTGGTGAGATCTTTCAGCCCATTCACCAAAAATTAGGACACAAAAATTATTTTGAAGGCAGTTTGGCTTAATATTCAGAAGTAACCAAGCGCATTGCAGAGACTGTAGATGCGATAGAATCTTCCCAAACTCATAGGTTTGCAGATTATAGTACGTCTGTTGTTAGAAAGAAGAAAGGCTAGAGAAATCAACAGTTTAGGCAATACAATGAATGTAAAGAATGTTAATATAAAATAGAGTAAAAATTACTTATCGAAGGTATGAAGACCAAGATGGTGTGGCCTTATGTGTGGTAGCAGTCTCCTTTCGTTGTAAAGAGGTTGTTTCACCTTGTTTTAGCAACTTGGTCATATAGGTAGGAAGACTTAGAGTAACGCACCTAGTCCAAAGTCCATTGCATGCAAGATCATTTACAAAGTCGGAGCGTAGATGTGGTACATTTACAGACGTTTCGCCGGCATCGTCAGTGAGTCTCGCCACTCTTAGCACCAGAAAACAACTCGTCAAAGAGACAAGTGAAGCCGATCCTTTAACCAAATGTGTGCTAAACAGTTGTGGTATCTCCCCTTCTGCCCTAGGCTATTCACATTTCCTATATCCTCCTATCACGTATTCACTGTTACAATTTTTACCGTGCTTATTTCGATGTAGTGTCGTGGGCTCCTTTAAGCGGCATTCATGAAGAACCTTCACACTCCACGCTGTCGTTCTTACCCCTTACCCTTGTGCTGAGAATGTTGATTAGTCTGCCATATTGTTACGCAGTCCTCCTTACATAGGTCTTATCAATCTCTCTCTTGTCCCGTAAGATCCGTCTGCTATATCCCTGGTTCACGTAATTCACTCAACCCTTGCCACCCCATTTGTGCTGCTCGTGGCTTTATTAGCCCTTACCTGCGTTTGGGTGACTAATTCGAGGCCAAAACCTCTGAGTAAGTCTCATCATCAAGCCTTTGCTACATGAACCACGTCTTTAGCAAAACCTATTGTCAGCCAACTAAATCGATTCTCCGCCGCATCTATCCTGTCTCTATCCCTAATACCAAGTCTATGACTTCCCATGATTTACTCTCTTGTGTACTAACACACAAATGTTATGGAACTGCTTGCTTTGATTAGGCTGAATGCTGAACCATGAAGTTTTTTGGTTGGCACACAAGAGACTAGGGCATAGGAACTCATAGACTTGATAGTATAGATAGAAAGAGGATAGAAGCATTGGAAGCTAGAGCTAGTTGTCTAACAAGTAATGACTTAAGGAGCACGTCTATGATTAAACAAGGCTATTGTTAGCCAAATAGCTGTTTCTATCCGTAATACCATTTCTATCACTTCCTACGTCCTAGTCTCTTTTGTGCCAACCGACAATTGTCATGGTTCTATTTGTTTTGATTAGGCTAACTTAAGATGTCTCCTCTTTGCTTCTGATTGTTCCT